TCTAAAACAGGCCCATGAAAATGATAGTGCCCCACATAGGAATTTACTACCTAGGACATTCCCAGATTGCACTGCAGAAACATTGTAGATTTATAGCTTCATACACTGTGTCCTGAACACTGAAGGCAAACCACACTGGAGGGACTTTGTTTCAACCACAGAGAAACTGTAACAAGCCAGCTCCAGACCACCAAACCAAGTAACTAGTAGATCCGGGAATAGAATTGAGAAGGTTCTGATGCCTCCTCACAGACCACAGACTGCTTCTTCTGAACATAATGACAGAGCATCTGTTGCTGTTAGTCCCCCAGGATATGACATGCCAGGAGCAAGCCGTCTGAGGGCATTGCCCAACGACATGAATTTTTGGTTTCTGAGGACTCCTTAGGAACCAGAGAATTAGAAAGTAGCCATCACAAACATCTGATGGCTGCTGACTAATATTTGTGTTTGGGGTACTTAGTTACTACCACAAAGCTCTCTTCTTTGCTGACATTTTCAAGAGTGACAGTTTATAAACATAGAAATGCTTCTTTTCAGTTCTTTATAACACTTAACAGTTTTATGGAGAGCTTCCTTAGATTATGAAAAATGGCACCATATATATGAGTATAGTTGTTTTGTTCATGGCTTATCCCCACTCTCTGAATTCCCCTAAGCCATTTTCTCCTCTCTACCTTCCGTCCATTCTGTAGCACCAGAACAGTTGCTCTGAAAGTTTGTCTGCTTTTGAAGATACAATCTGTCTGGCTCACATTCTCAGTCTGGAATAGCTTCCACCATCACTGTGTGTCTGACACAGTTAGCTTGTGTTTGTCTGCATGTCACCATTTTATTAAGTTGTAGGAGAGCTGGATTAGTTTCTTTGTGAAAAACTCTTTGAAGTTCCTTCAGTAGCTTTGTCTAAGCTGTCTTGATTTAGCTTCATCCTGAAGAGTGGTTTTCAAACTGTACTGTATAGCATGGCAGTGTTTTCTCTTACTTCTTGAGGCCATTATTTTACATTTAATAGTTACTTTTGTTACCATTAAATGTCTTTGGAACTCTCTACTATGGAGTACTTATTGCTGGTGATTGAACTGAACACATATTTACCATTTCAGACAACCCCCATAATAAATCTGTGAAAGATATGGACAGTACTTATCTCTTTGATAGGAGAACAGAGGCACAAAAAAGTTGAAGATACATAGTATGGAAGGATGCCAGGAGTTCAGGGTGGGACCTCTGACTCCATAGCCTGTGTCTCGGAATCACTATAGCAGCCAAATTAACCATGAGAACAATGTAGGTGCAAGCCAGGAGGCATTGATTTTTGTTTTTGTTTTTATTTTATGGATACACATAGCAGCAGACTAATATTACTATCCAGTAGTCATTGTTAACACTTTGTCATCATGTATATCTGTGTCCATATCTTTAAGATGAGAATAATAGTGGTAGTCCATGCTGTGGTTATAAAGAGTAATTGTATGTCCCCTATCTTATCAAGTGGCAAAACATTTGTTGTCAGTAGCCAAATCTCCTCTGTATCAAACATGGTGCAGGAAGTGAAAGGAAAGGAAGGGGTATGAAATAAATAGTGTTAGTAAAACTGAGGGAATAATGTAGGAAATAGATTCTTTCATCATTAAAAATGTATAACCTGATAGTAAAAGTAATATCAGATTTTGAAGTTAATCATTTCCTAAATCCACAAGGGTATTAGACAAAAGTTTGGATTACAAATTAATGCATGTGCAAGGGCTGTCACAGTCATGTTATCCAAAGGTGAGTCCATGTGTAAGAACATCAATTAATCTGATTCCATAAAAACCTGAAGTTTCTGTAGCAAGATCAACAGAAACACTATTCTAGTTTCTTCTCTGTTGCTGTGATTTTAAAAAAAAATACTCTTAACCAAAATCAGCCTGGGAGAGAAAGTCTCTTTGGCTCACAGTTCCAGGCCACAGTCCGTTATTGATGCAAGGCAGACCTACGTCTTATTCCACACAGCATTCACAGCCAAAGAAGCACAGAAAGTACCATTGAGGATGCTGGTTGCTGCCTCACAGAGCAGCTTACACTTAGCTAGCTTTCATGTTCAGTTCATCCCAGCTGCTTAGAGCTAAAACTGCCCACAGTAAACTGGGCTGTCCTGTCGCATCTTCCTCAACCAGCAAGGAAGACGCAATGCTCGGACTCTTCTTTAAGCAGTTTATTCAGGAACCTTGAACAGTCTTCTTCTTTTCTCTCCTTCTGCTTCCTCCAGCCCCAGCAAGCCCTTAAATGTGTGCTCGCTGCCCAATCAGCTCATGCCACCTGGCAATCCCGGATAGGCCACAGAAGGAGGAAGCGCACCAGATCCATCAAGCCCTTCCAAATAAGGCTTGTTTACAACTAAACTCGGATTACCTGGCATCCAGCCAGGCGCCATCTTGGGGCTGTGGCTTCCCACACTGTCCTACATCATTAACAGTCAAGGCAGTCCCCCACAGACATGTCCACAGGCCTTAATCCAGTTGAGTCTTCTCTGGTGGTCTTACACCATATTGTTGATAATTAAAGCTATTTAGAACAGATACCATCTTAGGGATTGATGGCACAATGTAGTAGATTAGGAAAGCAATTTGCTGTAGATGGAAGTTTCTGTCAGGCCTGGTCCTGCAACCATTCAGTTCCAAGTAAACACACAGAGTCTTATATTAATTATAAGCTGTTTTACTCTTACAACTTAAATTAACCCATAATTCTTAATGTTTAGCCACATGGCTTGGTACCTTTTCTCAGTGAGGTATTCTCAGTTTGCTTCCTCTGTGTCTGGTGCGTGAATGCTTATCTGCCTCTCCTCTCCCCATAATTCTCCTAGTCTGGTTGCCCTGCCTATACTTTCTGCTTGGCTATTGACCAATCAGCATTTTATTAAACCAATACGAGTGACAAATCTCAGAGTGAACAAGAGCATTATCTCACATCAATTTGCAGTGTCTATCATAGAAGATACTATCCTTAAAACATAAAAACTTATTATAATAAATAAAAGGACAATAAAATGAACCAAAGAACATACAGTTTTCTGGAAAGAATTAAAAATAACCAAGATATGGAAGATACAGAGAAACACAAAGCAATGTTAAGTTTTGTTAGTGATTAAAAATGAGACATAACCCTCCAGTCTTCTACCACAGCAGCCATGGAAGAGCAGCAGCCAGGTCTTTGTGCCATCCCATGGACAGGGTACAAGGCCACAGCTAACCAAGACCCTGGTCAGGCAAAGTACAGCCACTGTAGTGGGCACCTCATCAAACACATTAATGAGTGTGGGATGAGATCTGGGAGATGAGGTGTGCCAGAGAACTACTCAAGGTCTCCAAAGACAGTCTTGAGTTCATCAGTTCATGGGGATTGTGTACATCCTCCCAGGAGTCAAGGGGAGCCCTGGTTACATTGAGGAAAGTCCATTTCAGAAAGGACCGAGTTCCTTCCCTTCTCTGTACACAATAAAAACTTTATAGAGGAGGGGAAGGAGGAAATACTGATGCAGTCCCAATTTCTCCTGTGAATGTTAACAGTGTTTTTAAGAGGTAGATCATTAAGGTCAAATATATGAAAATAGTATGTAAATGTAATGGCTGAAAACAATGGAATGATGAGCCTACAGAGATCTTAGTCCTGGTGGAGCGAGAGAGAGCTCTGACAGATTTCATCTTCACTGTGATGCTGGGGAGTGGGCTTTGCACCTGTCCTCATTGTTGAAAGAAGTGAGAAACGAGGACGAAGTTTCATACCCTGTAGTGAGGACTTTGACTCTGTGAGGATGGAAGAAGCCATAGCTTTGTGGAGATGCTCCAGACAGAAAGGCATATATACTGAAAGCTGTTTTTCAGTGAGGTGTGGAAACTGGTGGGAAGAGGTTGAGCACTTGTAGATAAGGGAAACAGCAATATGTTGAAGCTGTCTTATCTGAGTGTTTGTGTTCCCTTAAAACCCATACACTAGAACTAAACTCCAACATGGAACTGTGAGGAGGAAGGAAGGGCCTTCTGAGGGCCAGCTGTCATGACTGGGATTAGTGCCCATGTGAAATAGGCTAAAGGGATGTGCTTGCTGCCCTGTTATGCAGGGAGATGCTGTCTATTAGGAGGTAGTCCTTCCTAGACAGTGTCTGTGGCCACCTTGACCTTGCATGAGCCTCCAGAACTGTGAGCTGTTTGTGTATATGTGACCCAGGGCAAGGCATTTTTCTTTAATAGCACTAAGGATAAGACTTGGGTTTGTGCTAATGTACACACAAATATGAAAACAGCTACTCAGGACTTCTATGATCCTAGCCAAGCCTTACAGTTGGATTTATCTGCTGTTTTGCTAGAGTATGATGGTCAGAAAAAGCAAAGGGGTGAGGGAATCCAGAGAGTTATCCCATTAACTGTTTTGATAACAGCCTTTGGCATGGATGGATAGAGTAAGGGGGATCAGGAGGACCAGGAAAAGAGGGTCAGGCTTCATATACTCTGCACTACAGCCCGTTAGTGAGTTTGACATTTTCCCAACAGGGTTGTTTTCTTTCCACCTATCACTTATTTTGCTTCTACTTTCCCTTGTTTTATAAACCGCTTTGAAGATAATAGTCGATTAAAGCTTCATTAACTTGTCAGTTGGCTTCTAAGTGTAGCTAGAAGTGCTGTTTCCTGAATAACTGTAGTTCTTTGTTTATATTACTTTTACATACCCTTCATTTAACTCAGAAGATTTTGTTTGTACTGAGTTTTAAATTCCTTGAGGATATGGATCATATTTTGGACTGAGTTTTGTCATTTGGTGTTATTCCACAGTACCAGCCCACTCCCTTTTTTGTGGTAAGTGTGATGTCAGTCCTTGCTGATAATGTGTTGTACATTTATGCCAAGAATCTAGATAGGACTTTTAAAAGAAATTGGGATGCCTTCTCTGTGAGCTAGATTTAAATGTCTGCTTAAAGTGTTATTTCATTAACTTCTAAAATGTATGTTTTTGCCTCATAGGTATGGCATGAATTGTCTTATTCAGTTTGAAGATTTTGCCAATCGGAATGCATTTCGTCTCCTGAACAAGTATCGAAACAAGTATTGCACATTTAACGATGATATTCAAGGTAATCACATTTCACTGTGAATGGGTCAAGAATAACATCTGGAATAACATTTGGATGAGAGAGAAATGCCATGATCTGTGTGAGCAGTGATGGGAAGAGGCACAGTGAAGATGTCTAGAAAGATCCTGTCACAAAGTGATTTTGGCATGCAAGCCAAGCAGAAGCTTGGCATGCACCTCTAGGTTGTTTGATGACTCCATCTCTACCCCTCCATACACATCAGAAAAGGAGGAACAAGCTTAAAGCTGTATTTACACTTCAGGTGACTATTTCAAAAACACCAAGAATAAACTGAAGGACTGACATGGCAGGTGACTAAGGCATTATCATCACAGTGAGCCAATAGGACAAGTTTGTGTTGTGAAATGTTAGGGGAGGGAGCGAAGCATTGAACTGAGAAGGCACATGTTGGGATGCGATAGGTCATAGACAGTCCGCCATTATTCAAATCAGAACCTTCCATATTTTCACAACTTCCGGAGGTCAGTAATTTAAAACAATTAATTTTCTGTTCTGAAAGTATTACAATCTCTGGAAAGCTGTCATGGATGGTGAGAAAATATATGCTTTAAATTTCATCTTCACTAAACAATTTCTACTGTGAGATATAAATCCTTTTGTAATAAAACAACAAATTAAACCTGAAATAAACAATGCCATTGTATTAATGAAATTATAGAATTATGTGTCTATGTATATGGAAAAGGTACATATACAGAAACCTAACAAGATAAACAGATGAAAAATAATAACATCTGAAATTAGTTCTCAGCTTTTTTCTCAGGTCCAGTAGATATTAGGATTTATGTTGGATGGTTTTAGTCATAATTTCTGGTTCTCTTTCACATTTGGGAAAGCATCTTAGAATGTACTATATTATATATACATGATAAAATCTCCAGCTATTATGACTTAATAAGAAGGAAATCTGTGAAAATAGATTGCACGTTGCTTAAGGATATAACTGTATGTACTCCTTAGCTGGTTTCTAAGCTTCACTCCAGGAAGTGCTATCTCTGTTTTTTTGAGACAGTGTCTCATTTTGAACATAGAGACCTCAGGCTCACAGCATCCTGTTGGCTGAGATACAGGAGCCGCCAGCCTGGCATGGAAATAGTCTGCTGCATTCTAGTTGATAGTTGAGGCTCATGCTTTGGCTGTGGACCTTTGTCTAAGGCGTGTGGGTTTTTCTATTCTAGCTCTTATTGTCTACCCCTCACTGTCCTCCCTCCCTCACCTAGGCACTCATTTCATTATGGTTAGTAAAGGACTGACAGGTAGAGGGTGCACTTAGTTCCAGCAACCTAAAGACCAGGATGGTTTGCATCTCATGGCTATGCATGCTTTTCAGTTTTGCCTTAATGTCTCTGTAGCATTCAGCCCTGTCACTTGTCCTTTCTGAAACTACTCTTGTGTGTTGCCCTGTCACCGCACCTGCTGACTTCTTCCTACTCCCCTGGCTGTTCACTCTTTCCCCTGACTAGCACATGATGGAGCGCTTCAGGCCTTCCCTTTGCTCTAGCACTATTCTCTTAGGCCATATTCCATATTCTGACATTGAGCATGCAGGGTAATTTCTGCATTTAGGATTTCTTTGAACTCTAGGGTGGTATGTCCGTCTGTTTATTAACAGCTCTTCTTGGATATTTCAGAGTTACCTCATTCTGAAAGCATTCCAAAGCAAATCCATTTCCTCCCCAACCCGACTGGTTCTCCCTACAGTCAGTCTCCTTCTCAGTGAATCCTATGGTCTCTTTCTCATCGAATTTCGGCCAAGTGCTTACTTCCATCACTAAGGCCTGATGGGAGATGTCATTCTGTATATGTTTCTCATACTGGTTAATGAATAAAGCACTGTTGGCCAATAGGAAAGCTAGATAGGAGGGACTAGGAGACAAGGAGGAAATAGGAAGTAAAGAGGAGGAGCCAAGATGGAGAGTTGGGAGAAAGCAGTATGCCGGCCGTCTCCCCGGTAAGGGAAATACATAGATCAGCAGAAATGGGTTAATACTTAAGATAGAGCTAGCTGATAAGAAACAAGTACCTGGCCAATAGCATTGTATCAAATACAGAGTCTCTGTGCATTATTTGGGGCTGGTGCGGCGGCAGGAGGAAATACCGTACTCCTTACATCCAATGAACTGTTGAACAAGCCTTTCGAGGGCTGGGGATGTATATCAGTGGTGGACACTCGTTTAGCATGAACAATGCCCTGGGTTCATCCCCAGCACTTTAAAAACACCACAACAAGCCTACATCTCCTTCTCCTATAGTATTTTACACCTTTGCATTTTGTGGTTCTCACAGAAATATGTATAAGGATCTTAAGGTTAGTGTTACATGATTGAGACCCATTATACAAAACTAATGGTGATCAGAGTTCAGTTTCAGAAGGTTAAATCACCAAACAGGAATGTGAGTGACAATTTCTTTCTCTCAGCAGCAGTAATTAAGATTTAGGGCCTGGGACACATCAGAAGTAAAGCCTAGAAATCAATGCAGGATTCAAGTCAAGCTCCAGGGACGTGTATGAGGTGTGCTGAAGATGCTGGGTGGAGAATGCTCCAGGTTTGCCAGCATGGAGGCAGTAAAATTGCTGGATTTCCATCTAGCTGCCTGTGCACACAATGCTTGCTTATTTCCTCACAGGGATTTCAGAATAATAGCTACCCTTACAAAGGAAAATACAGGTTTGAGAACAACTCATCTAATTCCTCAGTAGAGAAAACCTATGGAAAGTCCCTCAGTTTTGATTTGACTAGGAAAGAGCAAACCACTCGAACCTTTCTCCACTCCAGAGCTGTGTCCCAGTGATGGGTGTTTCCTCATATTTCTCTTTGATCTTTTGAACCCTATGCTTTTCTCATTATGCTCATGGATGTTGTCAGTGAAAACAATTATGCAACTATTTCAGCCCTACAATGCAGATAAGTGCTTTTGCATCATGTTCTTGGAGAAGCTGTTTTTTCTTCTTTTGAAACAAATATGTTATTTAAAGATACTATTTTATGAAAATTATCTGATTAAAGAAAAACATAGCTAACTATACTAGTAATATAAAATAATCTTAAGTGACACTGGGTTTGCTGTAAAGTCATTTTAGCCATGTCCTGGGGAAATGTCCTGTCCTGTCCTTGCAGCTGTCCTCTCCCTTTGCTGAGACTTCTGCTCTGTTGCTCCCTGCTTGCAACCACTTTCTGTTAGTATCTTCCAGTTAAGAAGATTGCATGAGTGTGGTTCTCCACATCAAGTAAATAAATTCCACTTAATTTTTTTTTCAGTATAGCATCATTCCCTGCCCACCACCATGCCTGATGCTTTCAAGTCCATATCCCTGTTTTTAAGTCTATTTTTCTCTTGCTTTAGTGACATTTGTAGGGGAGGAGGAACACTCGTGTGCACACTCTGCCATTTTCCACAGGGAATCATCCCTGCCTTTGTGTCTTGCACATACTTCTGCTGCTCTGTGTGCCCTCCCACCCAAGGCTGAGGGCATCTCCCATGCCCTGCACTGCCATGCCCACGCCCTGCCTGCTCTAACCGTGAGCTCAGCCTTTGTAAACCCACAAACTTCCTCAACAGTTTGAATGGCATCTGATCTATTAATAGTGCATGAGGATTTTAGTTATTTCATTACAAATTGGTCTTGTTAATTGTATAATGTAATTTTTAGTTCTAATTAGATTTAACAAATTACGGCATCAGTGTATCAGTAAAGGTCTGTTTTGTTATTGTTTTTGAGACAGGCTGGCCTTGAACATTCCATCATCCAGCTATAAACTGAGATTATCATGCCAGCAGTTGAGGTCATTCTTTGGAAAAAAAAAAATCAGAGAGACTTACAGCCACAGCAAAACCTCTGTGTATATTAAAGACATATTACTTGCGGATTCATACTGGGATGGAGTAGCTCTTGTCCACAGTATTTAGTAAATTTCATATTTTTCCTGATTTTAGAATGAGTGTTTGTCTAAATACAGTGAGACAGTTTGAGGCTGGAATCCAAATCTAAATACAAAGTTCATTTGTGTCCAGGGAATGCCATATACGCCTAAGTCAATATATCACAATATTTCAGCACTTGCATTCCAGCTAAGTAAGATCAGGTGTGAAACATCTACTGTCATGTCAGGGCTGGAGGGATGACTCAGCAGTTAGGAACATTTGCTGTTCTTTTTTTCTTTCCTTAAAGGTTTATTTATGTATCATGTATACAGTATTCTGCCTGCATGTATCCCTGAAGGCCAGAAGAGGGCATCAGACTTCATTACAAATGGTTGCAAGCATGTGGTGGCTGGGAATTGAACTCAGGACCTCTGGAAGAATAGGCAGCACTCTTAACCCTGAGCCATCTCTCCAGCCCCATTTGCTGTTCTTACATAGGACCACAGTTCAAATTCCAGGACCCACACTGGACACTGCAGCACCATCTTCTGGCTTCTGCCTGCCAGACGCACTCAGATGCACACACATACACATGCACAGTTATACAATTAAAAAATCATTTTAAAAAATTTGAGAGCCTGAAAGAATGGGAATTTTACATGAGACATACAACTTATAGATCTTGTTAAATTTTAAGAGAAAGCCTGCCTTTTTAGTATTGTGTCAACAATGTTAGCTCCTTTTTAATACCAGCAGTCCAAGGACAGGCCTTCCCTCTGACTGATTTAAGTTTAATTTTAATATAAGAATTAAAACAATTATATGATTTATTTTACAAACATTTTTATAAAATTTTCATTTTCTACACTTGCTTCTCTACAAAGAAATTTAAATTAGCCACCAGCTGTGTACAAGAATCATGTTAATGGGCTGGAGAGATGGCTCAGTAGTTAAGAGCACTGGCTACTCTTCTAGAGGTCCAGAGTTAAAATTTCCAGTACCCACATGGTGGCTCACAGCCATCTATAGTGGGATCTGATGCCCTCTTCTTGGCATAAGGGCATGCATACAGATCGAGTGCTCATATACATTAAACTTTTTTTTAAACGTTAAAAAAGGAAAATAGTCATGTTCACATTAAATTTTGATAGTGCTAAACTATCTCTCCGATCTTACCAACTGGTGCTATAAAGAGGCGACTAGACATTCCATTATGTCCCTAGGAAATACTATGGATAATGACTTAGTATCCAATACAGTGAGAGGAGACTCATTCTCCCTATTTAGTCATGTCTTCAGTAAAGCATTTTGAACTTTAATGGAATGAACATGACAATGGCACATCATAAGTAGGCAACAAACTTTTACGTCTGTCACCAAGTGTCTGGTTCCATGAAAAACAAAATAAAGCACTGAATAATGGTAAGTAGTGATGCTGGTAATGTTCCAACATTGACTTTTCAGCTAGTTAAATCTTATAACATTGGGACAATCAGTAGATATCTTGGAATCTCATGATCCCAGAGTTGGAAGTGAGCTTACAATTCCTCACATCTAACTTTGGACTGGTTTTTACCAGAAGAACCCAAGAAGAACTAGCTTGAAATGCTGCTTATGAGTAATTACTCAACATGGTAACTGGACATCTGTTCCTCCCTAATTTTATCTGTTAACAGTTCTCATGAGTGTGTCTTGGTGTATGGGCCAGACATCATGGCATATTTCCTATATAAATCAACCATATTTTGTACAGAATTCCTTTTGTTGTGGTTTTGGGGATTAACTCAGGCCCTCTGTGCACCAGACCAACATTCCTCACCAAGTCACATCGTCAGCTCTTTAGACTTCCATTTTATATTATGTACAGAACAATGGGTTTGTGCAATTTATGACTTGTCACAGTTCATGAACATTGCAGTGGTCTTACTTTCATCTATTGAGGTCTAAGTATTACCAAGTAAAGGTATTTTAAGTTTGGTCAGACTTTGCTGCTCACCTGAGTAATATTGAAATAGTAGAATGTTACCTTGGAGGTGTAAAATGTCCATACAGCTGGAAGGTATTGCAAGAAACTGAAGTCCTATTTCAGGAATGAAGCATGAGGATATTGAGCTGCGTAGTCTTATTTACAGTAAGAGTGCTAAGGCGTGGTCTGCATCCATGGTGAAGTCCTGTGATTAGAGTGGCGCCACTTCTGTACCTGTGGTATGACAAGGACAACCATGCCCTACTTATTTATATGCATTCAGTTAGCATGTAGGGGTCTAGCAGGACTTATAGGTAGAAAGACAGTTAAAGCATGTGATAAAAATCAGATTTCAATTGCTGTTAGTGGCTAATTTCTCAAAGTTAAACATTAAATTCCAACCATATCTGAAAAACCATTTACTGTGTATCTCCTTTGTGTGGATTTCAAAGTTCTGCCAGGGCTACATGAGACCCAGCCTTGAAACTCTAAAAACCAAAAATGAAAAGCAAACAGAACCCAGACCCTTGCTGTTATCTACCATCCATCAAAAGAAGTTCCAGGGTCCCCTTTTGGGGGGAGTTTTGAAGGATTTAAACTGTTGTCCTAAAATACTGATGTCCTTAGCCTAAGAATTTTGTTTCATATGCCAGCATGGAGACAGACAGACAGGCAGGTTCTTTCTGTCCCTGTTATCCTGTCATGTGATTTGAAGATGTGGATAAAAGCTGAGTCTGGCGGGATTCATGTGAGGATTGCTCAAGGGTATTTATCACTTGTTTTAGGAACAGCGTCTGTTGCGGTTGCGGGTCTCCTTGCAGCTCTTCGAATAACCAAGAACAAGCTCTCTGATCAGACAGTGCTGTTCCAGGGAGCTGGAGAGGTACCTGCCTTGTGCACTGCTTACTTTGTCTTGATTAACACGTGGCTAGCATTGGCTCAGTACTTACTCAAGGTCTTGAGCGCTCTCATAGTGTTATATTACAGCTGTAGATGCACGATTCTACCAGTTATAAGGCACTTTGCCATGATAGGAGACTTTGGAATTATAAAACATTTTTAACAGTTTAAATTCATGAGATCATCAAATGTTACCCTTGACTTTGTTATGCACATTTAAGGCTTAATACAGAATGAAGTTACCAATCTGTTTTGCATATGGCAACCTCTATGAATTTAAGTTAGTATGCCTGCCCCCCACTGTCCCAGTCAAAAGTGTTCACAGCCCTACACACAGTCCAACATGTACATATATAACTGCAGTTGTTTCTAAGAAAATCATTTTGAATTAAAGATGCATAGTAAATCAAAACTATTATAACCAAGGTATTTGAAATCATTGGAAGAAATTGTGTAAGACCAAATTACATAGCTTCTTGGAATCATTGTCAATACTCATTTAAAAGCAGAAAGCTAATTCACCTCCCAAACAGAATAAAATCGAATCTCCCTAAAATTACAATTACAGAATTTAAAAATGAGAAAATACTATGGCTAGACAGGCATTTTGAGGAAAAACTTTAAAATTAATGAGTATAAAACAAGTTGTTCCATGGGTAGAAATGTGTACATACTGTGTATTCATTTTGCTTATTTTGAAATATGAGCTATAGCTAAAGTGAATACATGAAGACATTCAGATTGTGATCACAGACTCACTTTCAGACTGAAATTACAGCCCAGTCTACCAACAGCCCTGATATGTTAGCCCTCTTCTGGTAAGCCCCTCTGCATTTCCAGAAAGACACTGGCCAGTTCTTGAGTCTCAGCAGGAAAAGCAATATTCCTGGTTGGACAACTTGTGGGCCCTGATTTGTTCCTGAAAAGATGAGCTTTGTGGCATGTCACAGATTATCGAAGACTTCATCAAATTCCAAAAAAGATCATTTTTTTTTAATTGGGAGAAATTTTGCAATGCTTTCTTTTCCTAAATAAAGAGGGTGAATAAATGCTGGCCAGGACATATTTCCTTTCAGTTTTCTGCTATTGTCTAATTGGTCATGATCCCATCCAGATGAGCACACTCCTCATTTCAGCTGGAGGAGTGTCTTTCTAGCAGTAAGCCTTTGGTCCGTTGAGCTAGGCTGACAGGTGGTTGTGTTAAACGTAGTGTTTTCTTCTTGTGCTAGTCCTGACTGCACTCTAGTTACAACGAGAGTCAGATATACTGACGGGGTGCCACTGGCATGTCTATGCTGACTAGCAACCCGAATCATAGTGGTTGTGTTGTAATTAAGTGGAGTGAGTAGTGGTCATTTTGCACACCCAAATGTGACAAAAATGCTTAGCTCCTAGTGTGAACTGAAGACTAAAGCTCTGGAACTCAGCAGGCAGAGCTGTTTTGCTATTCCTTACTAGTAGACAATGTGAGGTGATGTGTGTTACTCCCAATAGGACAGTGGAACAAGTTTTGAAATCTTCTTTGTTTTTGTGCTTTATTTTCAGGCTGCCCTGGGGATTGCTCATCTGATTGTTATGGCCATGAAGAAAGAAGGTTTATCAAGGGAGGATGCTATAAAAAAGATATGGTTGGTTGACTCAAAAGGATTAATAGTCAAGGTAAGAAAGAATCCGTGTATGTGCCTGATCATTGTTTTCTGTGCCTCCTTAAGAAGCCATGTTGAAAGATTAGCATTTATGGGGTAGGGAGATCAATCAGTAAAGTGCTGACTGTGTAAGCACAAGAACCTGACTTCAGACCCCAAACCTGAATTCCAAAAAGCCAAGCACAGTGGTGCAACTTGTAATCTCAGTGTGAGGAATGCGAATAACCTACTGGGTAAGTTCTAGGTCAGTGAGAGAACCTGTCTGAAGCAAAGAATGGTAGAAGGTGAGTAAAGAACCATGCCTCAAGTTGTCTTTGCCCTTCACATATACTCTCACATATATGTGCACCTGCACACCCAAGACAGTATGCATCCCCATGCACACATGCACACACACATACATGCACACGGTAATACTGATCTCGCAGATGCAGAAGAAAACTGTCAGGAATGGCTTCCATTGTGAGTGTATCCTCACCACTCTGGATCATCAGTCTGCTAGGATTAACTTAGTTTTCCACAGAGGCAGTTGGATGCAGGCACGGATGAGACACCTACACAGCACACTTTGGGAAGAGCAGGCTGTCACACACAGCAGGTTAGGAAGGAAGGAGGGAGTGAGGGAGCTGCCCACGTACCAGCTGCTTTGCCGCAGTTCGCAGTTCTTGAAGTTGGAAGATCGTGAGGACAAGGACTTCGTGGATGGACTGCTGGAAGGGGTCCAGGGCCTCCTTTGTGTGGTTATTGTGAAAACCTGGTGGTGACAGGTGTGTAACCTGGCTGCTGTGTGACTTCTGCCACCGGGTGTGTCACTTGCTCTTTTTTAAACACAATAAAGCACATGCAAGCCCCCTTTCATGTGAAGACTGATGGGTGGCAAGCTGTGTCTCTACAGGACAGAGGGAAATGATCCGAATGTGACTTTCAGGGAAGTCTTCTACATGTATCTGGAACTTTTGAAAGTTATGTTGCTGAGCCTATTGTTTCCATTCTTGGAACTCTGTCCTAGAGTTAGTGTGCTTATATTGTTTTAGGTGTGAGGATATTATTAAGACTATTTGCAATAGTGACGTTTTATCATACACTCATTTTAATGGTGATCTGTTATACTTCCAAAACATAATAGTCAAATAGATGTGGAATAGCTACAAGTATGAAAATACATTTAAAACTGTCTTCAAAGAGCAGTAAATGACATTAAATGATTCAGAGTGTCAGATAAAAAGATAATACATGTTTTATATAGTGCTTGATTTATATGTTTGATGTATGAAAGATACAGAAGACAAATATCAACTGCATTTGACTTTACAGGGTTATTATTACAGTGGGAGCCCCAATCCCAGGGCTTTGCACATCCTAGGCAAATGCTACACCACTGTACCCCTTGCTCCTAAAACTTCCATTGTTTATAGAATCATTTTTGTATATTCCAAGTTCTTAGTGATTGTAATTCTTAAAAGCTAGAAAATATGTTTAAAATGGACTTGCATTGATAAATTTTGACTTAAAGGAAGAGAAAGTATATGTACAGCTGTCAATTTAAAGGTGAAAGGTGTTGAGTGTATTTATTTATTTGTTTATTTATTTATTTATTTATTTATTTGCGATAGAATTTTACTCTGTAGCCCTGAATGACCCCAACCTCCCTCTTTAGATTAGGCTGGCCCCAAACTCACAGAATTCTGACTGTCTCCGTCTCCCAAGGGCTTTGATTAAAGGCGTGCACCACCATCACCTGGAAACCATCAAGAGTAGCCTTCTTCACTTAAAGATTTGTTGCTTTCAAGAATTAGAATGGCTAACAAATTATATACTGTGGTCACATCACATATATTGTAGTTGGGAAATACTGTTCACTGCATGAAATTTTCCACTAATCGGGCATTGTTCTAGATTCTAGCAAGTATATATTAAGGCACTTGATTGCAGGGTGCTCCCAACATAAGGGGAAAAGTGAAGATACAAAAGTGTTGTCATGGTGTCTGCGTATGTAGGGGAGACACTCCTCACTGCTGTGGAGAAGGGGGAAGGAAGGCTGAGGCACCCCAGAGCATGGACATTTCTAAGGCTAAGCTGAATAGGAAGAGTTCAGAGTTACTGTGGAGTCTCCACAGAGATCTGAAGTTCCCAGTACATGACACTGAAAGGGAAAGATGGTGACAGGTCATGGAGAGTCCTGATGGAAGGGTTGTCACAGTCACACATGTGGCCAGGCCACACCTAACAGTAGTTTGTTGAGTGAACGATGAGGGGAATGCTGGTGGAAGACTGGGCAGGTGCTAACGGATGTACTCTGCTTGCTGTAAGAGACTACACGGGTGGCACAGGGCAGGTGAGTCCTGAGAGGAGTGAGCAGGAAGGCTTGCCTTTTCAGTCGCCCTGACTGCACTGTGGAGGATGGTTTGAAAGAGAGACAAGGTGCAAAGTTCTTGTAGTAATCCAGAAGAGTTAACAGAGGTTTGAGGGAGAGACTCAATTCCATGGACATTTAAAAGGAAAGGCTGGCGTGCTGAGAGCTTGGGGAACAGGAAGGAGGAATAGGGTAGAGGAAGGAATCTAGCTGAACTCCCAAGATATCTAGGTATAAGGAGAATTAAGAGAAGCTAGTTGAAGGGAAACAGTGAGATGATGCTGTGGGCTGCACAGTGGAAATGTCCCTTCAGTGGCTGGAGATCCAAGACTGACCTTTAGGATAAGATCTGAGCTGGACAGAGGAATCAGGGACCAGCTATACACATGCTAGATGCCTCGTAAAACTACATAAATCATCTTGACCCAGGAATGTATGACATTCAAGAACCCACATAGTGGGAATCCGTGACTAATTTCTTGTCATTTTAATGTGAACTCCACACAAGTATGCATAGCTGTTAGCATAATTTTAGCATAGGTCTGCAGAACTGAGACTCTAGGCTCCAGGGGTTACCATACTCAGAATGACTGCAGTTGTTGGCTAGACCCAGCCGGCAACTTTTCCTTCATGTCCTTTACCTGCCAAAATTGAAAGGTTAAAAGAGACATACTAAGTTTTAATTAATAAATGCTTCATGCCATTAAATAGCTCAAACGCTTGTATTTATTTTCGTTGGGAAACTAATAAATTGTAGATAAGCTAGAAGATTACCTTAGTCCTGCTTTCAAATTTGCACAAATCTTTTGTGTGCTGGTTCTCATCTTTAGTTAGTCTTTACATAACTCCTGAGAGTCAATAATAATTTTATTAGTTTATAATGAACTTGGTCATAATATATCAAATGATTCATAAAATTTAAAGTAGAGCATTTTCTTGGTGTAACTCCTTCACACTTTAAAGACTTAAAAAAATCCCAAAGCTAAAAAGTTAGGCTTGTCAAGTTGTCTTTGGAGTGTTATCATAATTAGACTAAATGGCTTTTATTGTAACATGTTTTCTATTTACATTTTTAATATAATATCATGACTGTAGCTCTTCCTACCATTTGCCTATAACCATATATGCAATAGGAGTTTGTGCTACAGATTGTCAGTGATATTAATATAGTATTATGTAAAAATACTGTATAATACATCAGTACTAGTATAGTTGGGATCAATTATTTGGTTACTGATGATACCTTACTGTAGTATTGTATAGCGAGAAATAACCTGTCAATTTAGTCACCTAAATTAATACATAATAGTATAAATAATCCAGTACTTACTAAAAATACATATAAAAATCTTCCCAGATGAAAACGAGAGCTGAGAGAGAGCAGTGTGACTGCTCAGGATTGCCAGCTGAGCACTCCCTTACAGTGTCGTTACCTGCCGAGCATTGCTAGAGAGGACAGTAAGCCACAGCATGGAGGGACATGGCCACACTCACCAATTGCTTAAGGGGCTTTCACTAATAAGCCAATTCTGTGCTTAGAGAGAGTATGGTATGAACGTACATTCATGTAACAGAGGCTAGTCTGAAGGTGATTTGGACTTCAGTTTTATTTTCTTCTGTTCTAAGTAATTCACTTCATTTTGTTTTTTCCAGTTTGCAGTTATCTACTTAGCTTCTATAGAAAGAGATAGTGAACAAAGGTATTCCATATGCTATAATGATAGTTGGGATAATATTATTTTCTTTATGAAGAGAAATGTTAGGGCTTGAAACTCTAGGCTGCGAGAATTTGTTCTTTCCCCTGTGTTGTTTTGTCGGAATCTGAGAGTGGTTACGTACCATGTCAACAATGGTTAACATTTTATATATCCTTTGATTAAAAACAAAAACCTATCTGCATTCTGGGTGGGTGGTTGCGGCACATGCCTTTAATCCCAGCACTCCTAAGGCAGAGGCAGGCAGATCTCTGTGAAGCCAGCCTGGTCTAGAGTAAGTTCTAGGCCAGCCAGAATTACACAGATAAACCCTGTCTCAAAAAACTTACATACATACATACATACATACATACATACATACATACATACATACATACATAAGTAAAATCTAGCTGCTATGAGATTTAGTAGCTTGGAAACAAGTACCCAGTTTGATTACTGTCTTCCTTTCCAATTCAAATAGAAGATGACCTGTGCATTTGTAGGTATTTAGAAGAACAATAGTCTTTGATTATATGTACGGTTTTTCAAACAGAAAACAATGACTATTAATATTTAACATGCAGAATTAAATATTGGTGGAGTTCATTTCCTACTATCTTAAATCTTAGCTTGTTTGAAAAAGCATGTTCTCTGTTGTTGCATCTTCTTGTACTAAGAGTCAACACAAAGTAAGGAGGTATAGGGATTAAAGAGGCAACCTAACAAAGAAATTTCTAGCTGTCCCTAATATATTTGGCACAGGACAGAAGGACGAAAGGAAGAGAGGGAGGGACGCCGGGATGAGGGGAGAAAGGAAGGAGGCCAGACTACCAAATCTAGGGTTTCTGAGGGAACAGATGCCTGCAAACAGTTTGTTATAAGAAGGCAAAGATCAAGGGTTTCTATCAGGTGAGAATAAGGTTGTGACAAGTAGCACATAAGGCTATGTGTGCACGTGTGTGT